CGCGGCCGAGGCCGCGGCCGCGGCGCTCCGCGAGGCCTGGGCGCGCTTCGAGGTGCCCGCGGGATACGCGCCGCGCCAGGCCTGCGTCGACGCGGCCAAGGCCCGGGCCGCGCGCGCGGCGGCCGAGCGCCGCGCGTACCTGGCCGTCTGGACCACGGCCGTCGAGAGCGCCGCCGAGGCCGCGGCCGCGTCCTACTTCGTCGAGGCCCCGGCGGGCGCGGTCTGCGAGTGCTGGCGCGCCGGCCCGCCCGCGCGCCGCGACTTCGGCGCCTTCGGATCGGCGGTCACGGCGCAGCTCGCCGCGTCCTACGACGACGGCGACGCGGACGTCGCCGCGGCCCGCGTCGGCGCCGTCGCGCGCGCGGTCGCGGACGTCTGGAAGGACCCCGCGAAGCGCGCGCTCGTCGGCGGCGCCGTCGGCGACGCCGCGTGGCTCGACGAGGCGAACGTCGCCGGGCGGACGTTCTTCCTGGGCGGGTTCCGCGCCTGCGTCGACGAGCTCCTCGGCCGCGCGGCGACGCTGGCGCGCGCCTACGCCGACGCCGAGCGCATCGCCGAGGACTGTGTGGAATTCAAATCTTCAACCCGACTTCAATGTGAGCATACGCGACAGTTTCGACGCAACCTCTTCGGCCGTGCTTCGAGAACTCGACGAGAGCAATCGATTCGTCCAAAAATCAGCCGAATCGACTTCGATTTGATCGAGCTAGAGAATTCTGAAGTTTGGTCAGGACCACCCAAACCAGTGGTTGAATTCCACACAGGCCGAGGACCTGGGCGCGGACGGCAGCGGCCTCGGGTACCTCCTCGGCGTCTTCTCGCGCCGGGTCGCGGGGACGGCGAGCGAGGAGGACCGGAACCGGGCGGCGTCCTGGGAGGCGCGGCGCGACGGGACGCGGTCCGACGACGCTCGGCCGGCCGACCTCTCGCGGCGCGCGTCCTCGACCTCGCTCGAACCCGGCGCGCGAGCCCTCCTCGACGTCGCGAACGGCGAAGGCGCCGCCGCGCGCCGGCTCCTCGGCGCCGACGCCGTGCACTTCTCGTTCCTCGCGCCCTGCGCGCGGCTGGCCGAAAGGAAGGGGGACGCGGTCACGGCCGCGGCCTTTTGCGCCGCGGGCCTGCTGCGATGCCTGGCCGCGCCCGAAACCGAGCCCGAGGACACCGCGATCTTCGCGGTCGGGGACCACGTGGAGCGCTTCGAGGCCGACCGCGGGTGGCTCCCCGGCTCCTACGTCGTCGGCGTCGGCGCCGAAGCCTGCGACGTCGTCGCCGAGGACGAGGCGAGCGGCGAGCTGGTCCCCAAGGCGCGGCTGCGGCATGGCGACGGGAACGGGCCTTCGGACGGCTTCGCTCCCGGGGTCCCGAGCCGCCTCGACGAGCTCCACCGCGTCGCGGAACGCTTCTTTCGACAGGCCAAGCTCGCGGCGGCCGCCGCCGCGCCCATGGACGCGGACGACGGCGCGCCCATGGACACGGACGACGCCGCGCCGCCGCTGCTCCGTCCCTTCGTCGAGGGGAGGGCGGACGCCGACGCCGTCGCCGCCGTCGCCGTGTCCGCGTGCGGCGGCGACGCGCACCTGCTCGCGTCGATCGCGGCGGTCGCGGGGCGCGCCGAGTCCCCGGACGCCGCGCGCGTCCTCGGCGTCGCCGCGCTCCACGCCGTGGATTCGCGCCTGCGCGCGGCGAACGCGCCCTCCGCCGTCGGCCTCCTCGCCAGGAGCATCGCGGAGGTCCGCGGACGCGACGCGGCGGCGGCGGGCGACGTCGACTTCGCCCTCGCCGGGGCCGTCGAGCTCCCCGCGACGGCGCGGCCGGGCTGGGACGACCCGAACTTCGTCTCCTGCGCGTCGCGCGCCGTCGAGGCCCTCGCCGGCAGCCTCGACGGCGACGCGGCCGCGGCCGCGGCCGTCGCGAGCGCGGTCGCGCTCGCGTCGCCCCGGCCGCTCTCGGCCGCCGCGCTCGGCGACGTCCTCGACGGGCGGGGCCGCTCGGCCCTGGCCCTGCGCGTCTTCGCCGCCGCGCTCGAGCGGTGCCCGGCGCCCGGCCTCTCGCGCGACGCGGCCGCCGACGCGGCCTACGGCGACGCGGCGCGGCCCGTCGCCGACGAGCTCGTCGACTTCCTCCGCGCCGACGTCGACGACTGTGTGGAAACCAAATCTTCAACCCGACTTCAATGTGAGCGTATTCGAATGTTTTGACACAAGCTCTTCGGCTGGGCTTCGAGAACTCGACGAGAGCGATCGATCCGTCCAAAGATCAGCCGAATCGACTTCGATTTGACCGAGCTAGAGAATTCTCAAGTTTGGTCAGGACCACCCAAACCAGTGGTTGGTTTCCACACAGGTCGACGACGGCGCCGCGCGGTCGCGCGCGTGCGGCGCGCTCGCCGCGCGCGCGCTCGCGGAGGTCGCCGCGGGGCTCCCGGACGCGCGGCGCTGCGTCGCGGACCCGAAGACGCTGGCCCTCGACGTCGCCTACGGCGACTCGCCCGGCGAGCTCCTCTGCGCCTTCGCCGCGGCGCTCCTCTGGGCGCGCCGCGAGCCGCCGCGCCTCAGCGACGACGCCTGGGGCGCGGCCGTCGCCGCGGCCGCGCGCGCGGTCAACTGCCCCGCCGTCGACGGGCCGGCCGTCGCGGCGCTCCTCGAGAAGGCCGCGAAGCACGCCATCAAAGCGCCGACGCTCGGCCTCTGCGGCGCGCCGCCCGGCGGCTACTCGACGTCGACGCGCCAGCTGATCCGCGCCGCGTTCACGACGGGCTCGGGCCGCCACCGGCGCCACCACGCGGCCCAGTACCGGACCGTCGCGACGCTCAAGCCCGTCGCGGCGCTCGTCGCGTCCGCGGCCGCGGCGCCGCCGGCCGTCGCGGCGCTCGGCGCCGCCGCCGCGCGGCTCCGGGACGTCGGCGTCGCCTTCGGCGCGGGCGACGCGCGGGCGCCGCCGCCGACGGCCGCGTCCGCGGCGCTCCGGCGCCGCGTCGGCGCGGCGCTCGTCGACGCCGCGACGGGCGACGTCGTCGACGGCGGGATCCAGCAGCTCGTGGGCCTCGCGAAGAGCCGCCTCGCGACGACGGCGACGCCGTCCGCGGCCGACAAGCTCCGCCACGGCGCCACCTGGAGCGCCTACAGCGCCGCCAACGTGCGGGACCAGGGCCACGCGATCCGCGGCCTCGCGGAGGCCTACGCCGTCGCGCGCGCGTTCGGCCGGTCCTCGGTCTGCGACCACGTCAGGGCCGTCGTCGCCAACTCGCCGAAGCTGATGGACGCGACCAAGGCCGCGGACCTCGCGGCGCCGCCGCCCGTCCGGACGCCGCTGCCCGAGTGGGCGGGCTGGCCGCACGGCGGGCCGTGGGTCGACTTCCTCGACGCCGACGCGGAGGCGCCGGCGCCCGCGGCCGACGACGACGTCGAGGCCTGGATCGCGCGCGTCGCCGCGCCGGGCCTCAGGGACGCGCTCGTCGCCTCGGCGCGCGACGAGGGCGTCGACGCGGAGGCGCTGGCGTCCATGGGCGCCGACGACGTCGCGGCCGTCTTCCCGGCCCTCGCGGCGGCGCCGCTCGACGAGCTGCTCGAGCCCTTCGCGGCCTGGCGCGCGGACGCGGACGAGCGCCGCGACCGCCCGCCGCCGCTCGCCGCGGGCGACGCCGTCGAGGCGCGCTTCAAGGGCGGCGGCGCCTGGTTCCCGGGCGTCGTCGCGGCGGTCCACGCGCCGCGGACGCAGTTCCGGGAGCCGACCTACGACGTCGACTACGACGACGGCGACGCCGAGCGGGGCGTCAAGGCGGACCTCGTGCGGCGGCCGCCCGCGCGGGAATCGACCGGCGAGCCGGGACGTCGGGGCCGAACTTCGGAACTCTCGAGGCCGCGTCGGCCGATGTTTGGACGATGCCTGTTCTCTCGTCGAGTGTTCGAAGCACCGCGGAAGCGTGCCCGTTCGAACGAGCGCACATCGAAGTCGGGTCGAAGATCCGGTTTTGGACGACGCCTGT